ATGAAATAAATCCGGAATTCATATTGTATGTTCAACCGCCAATATAATCGGGAAAGTATCTTATTAAATATTAATTCCAACTAAAATTAAATTAAACTTTAGATGTGAATACACAAACACAATGCAAAGAAGCAGAGATGTCAGTATTAGATCCATATGTTATAGATCTGCCAGTGAGGCTAACTCTTTGATAGAACATGACAATTATAATTTTGTTTAAATTTCACTTTTGGCTGTTTTTGTCTTGCCTTTCCCGGCCAGGAGGCGGTGTCATAATCGAGGTCATAATCTAGGTCACAATCTGATTATAGTTCGGACTGTAAAAAGTTGAAGAAAAAAAACAAGCACTCGCAGCAGTAAAGAGATTATTAGGAGTTAGTTCCCCTTACATTTGTGAGGTAGACTCGACCAGTGTAAAAGTTAGCTTACATAATCAGAGTTTGTGACTGCTTATAACTGTGGCCCCAAAGGGGTGAACAGGGTATTTGTCGCAAAGAAAAAGTTTTGACTGCTATGCACATGTTCCCTTCAACTCTATGGGCGATAACATAAAGAAAGCCGAAACTTAAGCGGCTGAAGATCGACTCGGACAAGTGCCAGTAGGTGTCTGCTTGACCCCACATGCTGGACGCCTTGGCCTAGACCTAGACATAAGAAAACTATTACACCACAACACAGCTGGTATTTATGAAGCATTTATTTGGGGATAAAGAAAACCTTGAAATTCCTAAAATGTTGCTTAAAATGTAATTCTGCCTGGAAACCACCCTAATTAGACGACGCTGATTTAAAAAATGTAATTAGTTTTTGTCCACCGTGAAACACCAGCTCTGAAATGACAATTTAAAATTGTCCCCAGTCCAGTCGGGTGACGTCACGCAAACAGCTCAACCGGAGTTCGCGACAGCCGCAAGGTGGCATTGAGAGCTCGCGACCTCAGTGCTTTCTTGTCGCATCTCCATGTTTAATAACATCTCAAAATCTATGAGACGGCACTTTATAAACCTGACATGTTGCAAGTGTTATAAAACTTTTACTTAAACAAACAAAAAAACGTTGAGAAATATCTCTCCCAACAATAGGCTACCTGAAGACCTCCCTTTTATTTTTTTTTCTCATCTTGATCTTCTGGCTTCTGGAAGTGGAGATTTTATGCTATTAGAACTAAAGCACTGTGTAGCTTTAATCATTCTCAAACTCATTTCAATCCGTTAATCAAAGTAACCAAAATAAAGACCACCTGAAATTTATCAAGCTCAGTGAGACTTACAATATTAAATATTTGTGTGTTGTATTTTTGTGTCCAATGGGGGTTAAAAAATAGCAAGAAAACAAACAGAAATAACAGATGGATTGTACAAAGATAATCAAAGTTTTGCAACATCCAAACTGCAGAAAAGAACAAAAGTATAAACCCTTCCCTGTCTCCTTTGATTTGCAGAGACTTACTCTCACTTCTTCAGTGTCAACCGTGTTTTTCTGGCATGCCGGACAGTGCGTGAGACACCCACTTCTGACAACTTCGAACCTTCTATACCACATACAGCCCTCCTCCACGTTCTTGCTGTACAGTAGATAATATGTAGTAAATTAAAATGTAAATACACTACCGTGTTTTATGGCTTTAATTATATCTTCCTCGCCTTTACGTCATGGCTAGTCGGATCAAATGACAGCCTTATATTAAATCCTGCTTCTCTAAGAAGCCGAAATTTAATGTAGGAAATTAAACACTTTCAAAAGTAATTTCCTTTCAAATGACACATTTACACCAAAAAATCTTATTACGTCTCTTAACTTCCCAGTTTTCAGTGCATCTAGGGCAGTATGTCCCTTACTGTATCTCCAAATAAAACCCCACTGGATGCCAGTGGCCTCCATGAACCACAATGGAGTTCAGATCAGATTTCATTTCAGCTGAAAGTGTTAGAGATTTGATTTTCAGAAACGTCTTACGGACACCCCCCACCCCCCCCAACCCGACATTGTCTCTTGAACCGTCCATGATTTTACGAACCCTTGTTACTTGGGCTGTAATAACTTATAAGCTGTGCCGAGGTGCCTTGGCAGAAATGGTAACAATCAAAGTTGAAGCAGCATTTACACAGACGTCGATTTGCCTCTAGCTGAGACGTAGAAGGTGTGTGGGTGATTTCTAGGTCAATATCTAATGACATATCACACCGTGTCCAAGCGGCAAGATTAGAAAGTCATCTTAACCTTTAATTCTTCGAATTCTTTATTTTTGCTGGAGAAATTTTCTCCTCTTTGGATGTATTGGCCATCGTCAGACAAAAGCAGATGAGCTGGTATGTCTGTTTAAGTAAATAAGACAAACACATGATCATCCGTGTCCATTTGTTGTCCCACCTCACACCATTTCTCCACCCCCCAAAATACAACAGGATTCATGGTAAAACTGGAAGTAAACAACGGAGACGGACGCGGGAATGAATAGTGATCATTTTCTCTCAACCTGTACCAAACCATGTTCATCACGTCAGGACACACGTTTTAAACAGCATAAGTCGTGATGGTATACACCGGTATAAACCGTCATAAGACAAACGTCACAGCACAGCCTGTGAAATTGCGGTCTTACTAATACCGGAAATTTAAAAACCGTATTCTTTTTCAGTTCTCAAACAGAAAAGTGTCCCTTCCTATTTTATTTACTCCGTTTCCTTAGGGTAGATATACACAAAGTCACAAATTTGAGCTCACAATATTGAACAAGGTAAAAGAAAATAACAAACAAATAATGAAACATTGGGAACAAAGATCAATAGGACAGTAAGGTTACGTATTGTTTTCCGAATTATTATTTACTGTCGCTGCTACTATTATCGCGTTTTCCATCCTCATTACAGCAATTCCGCTACCCCTAAAACTAACACTGTCACAACGACTACTGGGCCTAACACAATAATTGCAACACTCCTCGAAGATTTACTGCAATACGTGCGTTCTTTGTCATTTTTACAAACCCCAAAATCGGTGTATTTATGTTTTTATTTAAAATGATACGTTTACACTGTTATAAAATTGTCCAGATTCTGGCCGCAGTTCACTCTTATGTTATTAAAACCAAACTCAGTTTTCAACAAAATCTAATCAATAGACATTTGCAGTTCTGGCTGGGGTTTGAAAAATAGACTTTAAAAGAATCTGGAACAGATTTAGGAAATTGACCCAGCTTGGGGATGCCCCCCTCCCCCTTTTTTTCCTCCCTGCCACCCCCTTCTTTGCCGTTAAAAATGTTTTCCCGGCAAATGGCACAGTTTGTTCCTACACCATTTACTATTGCTACAAACTCAAATTGAGATCGTGGACAAATATTAGTCCAGCAACAACAATAAAACGAGCTGTGATTGCCAGGCTTACAAAATTCACTTTGTGTTAACGCTGTTCGACGGAGCACGCATGCCGGTACTCACACAGTGGCTGGTACCGCAAGGGGTTTGGAAACTGTGTGCTTGTGACAGAAATCAATATTCCCATGATTTCTTACACTTATAGAGCACCGTTATAACTTCTTTTCTCAGAATGTACTCTACAAAGATTGTACTTTCTTCTCCAATTCTGCTTTTCAGTGAATTATTCTGATGTCAGTTAATTAGTCAGTTGTTCAGCGAGTGAAGTGCTGAGGCAGGGTGGAAATCAGCCAAATCTCCAACGTGTTGGATGACATGCTACTTTGGCTCCTAGTCTAACACCCAATAGACTTACAATAATAATATTGATTGCCTTGCATGGAAATTACTTCATTGAATATTCTATTCTGAGATGCAGTATCCCACACAACCTGCATGGTCTTGAGAAATAGTGTCGAAGCAGCCCACGCCTGAACAATCTAAAATGTCTAGAGAATTTTCAATTGATTTATGTTATATGCATGTTCATTCGCACTTGTTGTTCGTGTTCTCATGTACCTATGTTATTCGTGTGTTCACAGGTACCTATTCCAAACGTGATTTCGTGTTGTTGACGAAATAAATACGTGTTAAGTTCGGAACAAAGACTGTTGAAGTTATTTAATGTCGATGGTGGCGTGAAGCAAACATTACGATTAATGTTATTGAAAAATTAAGATAATTGACGCTAGATTTTGGGTACAAAATACCCGAGCAAATGTATGAAATGTAACTTTGTAGTTTCCAAGGACACTACAGCTTGGAAAGTTGTCAAACAGCAGGCGATCCCCATTGTCTTTAATCGCAAATACGTCAACTTCTATTTTTTAAAATGATTTTCCCCCCTAAAAAGCAATGCAAATGAAAAGGCTTTAATAGTATTCCAAAAACTCCAAGTGTACAAACAATATACGAGCAGCTGATTCCATTGCGCCGCAACATATGATATAACAAAATCAAGAAAGTAATGATCTTGACGGTGGAAGGCACTTATGAATAAACCACAACTTTTTGCTTGTCTTTCTAAGATGAAACACCATAACTTTTTGCTATTTAGCAAGGGTAGAACATTCGGATCGAATATCCCGCCGCTCCACCGGAGATTTGGAACAGTTGTCATTGAAATGATCTCCACAAAGTACAGAGCTTCCAACATTGTCGTTGGATTGTGGTATCTGGACGACTTTTTTAGTGTAAATATTTTTACACCCGCATTGAAAACGTTTAGATCATTTAGGAGGAGGAGTTCGACCCTTCCAGTCAAGGTCAATCCAGCAGAAAGACCGAGATTCCACTTTGGAATAAGCTGCTGGACTCTTGTGAGCAACAACAAATCGCCTAACCTCAATAGCACGGACTACAGTTATCTAAACGAATACTCTCCTGTGTTTTGTTTGCATGTTCAGGGCGAGCCTAGGCAAAGAAAGATTCAACGTCCCAGCAGAAAAACCGAGATACTCAAAGAAAAATGTTTCCCACTCGGTAATCGAAACGTGGTACAGCCAAGCGCCAAAACGCTACAATACAGACGTCATTTATATGGACGAACACTCTTTTTTGTTCGAGTAAAGAAACACAAAATACGACTTTTCATATTTTTACAATTTGTACGTTTATTTCTTAAACAATTTTTCTTTCATTTTCTAGATGTTATTCCGAATGTTTTGGTTTTTAATACAAGTATTTTATCTTTCCGTTCAATTTCATTAGACACAAGGAGAGCAGAACAAACTGCAAGGGACAACAAACAGCATGATTATTTTCCTATCTGTTTCCTATTTTGTGTTGGTTCACAACATACACCACTCTTTCAATATCAAAAATTTGTTTTGTAAACTGTAAGTTTCGAATGAAACTCATGAAGTCATGAAGTCATGAAGTCATGAAGTCATGAAGTCATGAAGTCATGTTATTCAATGTAAGGCCCGACTTTCCAAAGTAGAGGCAGATTTTTTAGGGAGAGACGGCGTGAATAAAGAAAATAATGAACAGTAGTGATTACTTTAGACGAGTAATCGTTGAACATTATAATTGTCTGCAAATATTATGTATACTTTTTTTTGCATGCTCAGAATAACCCAAACTAAATTGATTGGATTCCCAAATTCAAAACGAATCTCTTCTTGCGAAACAAAACTCCCATTAAGATTTTTTTAATGATATTTGGCAGTTGGTACACATTTAAAGTATGAAAACCGGCCCTTGACCCCGAAAAAATGTTTTTAAAAGTTTGCAAGGCGTAGCGGACTCAATATCATGGCACATTTCAAACCTAATTTACACAAACTAGTAACACGGATTTGAGCATTCAAGTTTCAAACAGAGAAATCTGAACTGAAAAAAAACCTCTAATATGTGTGAACAGCTAAGTTGTTCTTTTTATAATTCTTCAAAATAGGGCGTCTTCAAGCGTTCGAATAACCAGAATGCACGTCCTCAATGATTTCGACTGGGTAAATTCATTATGCCAAAGTCTGTTGTTAGTTCCCTTCACAGTTTAGGTGCTCAGATCCTTCCACGCACGCTGTCAAATCTAGCCAAGAACAGTATTCCCTTTGCACGCTTGTTCCACTGTGGGCTGCATAAAATCATGGTAGAATTCACCAGTATGCTCGTCGCACGCCCCCACTACTGTCTTTACGCAAGACAAAGAGATTTTTCCTTGATCACATACACTCACCTGAAATAGATAAATATAATGCATACATAAACCAAAGAACAGAAATCAGGGTAAAGAGTCAGTTAGTGTGGGGGAGAGGTGAGGTCACTTGCCTGTTATTGCAAAGTGTTTGAAGATTTGATTCAAGTATAAATATTACGAGACTAGCTGGGCCCCCTTTCGTTGAAAGGAATGATCGGTGCATTAACATCAACTGAAAGTCATTGGCCTACTATATTTAGACTATACTGAAAAGGAGCAATACATCCTGAGAGGTGCAAAAATTTAGAAGGTTTAGATATAGATCTAATGATATATAGATTGATTCTCTAATCCGCTTTCATGGTTCTGCACTCCAGGATTTCAAAGCAACAGTGCGCACGGCTATTGAACGGAAACCTCACTTGTTTACAGTGGCGTCTTAGAAGACCGACTTTCCCAAGATTAGATCTAAACGAAACTATTGAAAAACTGAAGGCTCCTCAATAGAACTGTACACACTTTAAATGATTTTGAATCACACCTAATTTTGTCAAATTCGAAAATTAAGTGGTTCGGAAGTTTTAGGGGGCCAAAGTGACGAACTTTCACAAATATAATTATAGATTCAGTTTATGGGAGTGTCCCTTGGTTCCCGAACATGGTGTACTGGCGATCCAAAAAGGTGCCACTTTTTTAAAATTGTGTATTAATCTAACCTTTGGAAGTTTTCTCTTTTTCCTTTCACTTGGGTAACAAGCTGACAAAATAGATCTTGAAATAAAATAAACATTTTGGTGTTTTAATAAGTCAGTGTTCTGTGGGAAATTGGCATTTCCTCAGACCATATAGCGGCATTTTTCTATTTTTTATCTTTTAATGAAAATCGGGTCTCTATTTATCAAGCACCCGCAACAATATTTGATCGTGGTCTCTCAAGAAAGATAGCATGATCAGTTTTTCTGTTGACCTTGACGTTAAATGACTTGCGCCATGGCAGCAGCAGAAACACAGAAAGAATGTCGATGGCTCGGTTTCTCTTATGGTGAGTTGAACTTACGATCATTTGTGGGTGACAATAACAGAAATAAAAGGCTGTTATTATAACATGACCTACTCTTTAGAGTACTTAGTATCACAGATTTGAAAGGAAAAGCGTAAAGACTATTTTAAAAAACCCACAAAAAAACTACTCTTTCTACATCATCAAAATGTGTTACCTTTCTTTTGATCCTCAGTACAGTAGTAGCAGAAGAAGAAAACAGTGATACACTTATCAATAGTAGTAGTAGAAGTAGTAGTAAGTAGTAATAGTAATACAATGTAGTAGTAGTTCTTGTTGTTGTAGTCGTAGTCGCAATAGTAGTAGTAGTAGCAGCAACAGCAGCAGCAGCAGCAGCAGCAGCAGCAGCAGCAGCTAAAGTTGTAGTGTAGAAGTAGTGGTAGCAGTAGTAGTAGTAGTAGTAGCAATAGTAGTAGTAGTAGTAGTAGTAGTAGTAGTAGTAGTAGTAGTAGTAGTAGTAGTAGTAGCAATAGTAGTAGTAGTAGCAGTAGTAGTAGTAGTAGCAGCAGCAGTAGTAGTAGATGTGGTAGTAGTAGTAGTAGTAGTAGTAGTAGTAGTAGTAGTAGTAGTAGTAGTAGTAGTAGTAGTAGTAGTAGTAGTAGTAGTAGTAGTAGTAGTAGTAGTTATAATAAGTATGTTTGTATATAGTATGGAATTCAATCTACGTAGCTAGATAATACCAAGGTTTAAAATTGATGTGTGCCTTCAGCCAAAATAATAAATAACCCTTGATTATCCAGGAGTCAGTATTCAGTTTAGTTCCGAAGCATTTGTGTCATTAAATTGTTCAATCTAGTTTGCAGTCGTGGTGCTTACTATTAGAAGTCTCCCTGAACAATATTCCAACAAGGTATGGAGTACCTTTTCCCATATTTTTCCAATTTTGGCTACAACCTTCCTTAACACCAACTTGGTCATTTTAACAGCGCTTCGTCGTGAGGCATGAAGCGAAACATTGGGGCGGGAGGTTGGAGGAGGGTGTGTTTCAACAAGACAAACGAGGGACCATGCCACTTGTTTTCGAACCTTATTCTCATTTCAGTTTTCTTTTCAACTTTGCAACAAGAGCATTCTAAATGTGCAACTCACCGTGGTCGAATTGAATTGTCGAGCAGCTTCGTCCTTGATACATTTGGAAAATGCATCTATGAATCCTGAATGTGACACGCATTCAAGTTTGATGTTTTTGTCAGTACACAGTGCATCCATGTATTTCGAGTAATCGAAATTTAAAGAAACATCATAACCTGGGAAAACAAAAAACTAAACACTAATAAGTCTCTTTTTATCATGACAGAAATGATGACGAAATTGTTCAAATATTGTTACTTTAGAATTGGAAAGAAGATGCTCTCTTTCTTTTTTAAACAATGGAGAATTTTTTATTCCAATACAGTGCAAGGTGTGAAGAATACACGCCAGTTCTTGGGCTGGGCAAACAACACAATTCAACAGCTAAAAAGACACTACAGTATGGTCAAATTATATATTACGTCATTGTGTAGAACAAGCAGCATTAAATTCCTCCACAGGAAAACAAAGCCAATAGGAAAAGATTCTTTGAGAAATTTCACACCTGGATCAGGTGTTCTTTGTCAATGGTTCGTGAATATTTTGCTGACATGTCGGTATTTTTTAGACTTATAAGTTATTGTTTTGTTGTTGTTGTTTTGTTGTTGTTATTTTGTGTGTGTGTGTGTGTGTGTGTGTGTGTGTGTGTGTGTGTGTGTGTGTGTGTGTGAGAGAGAGAGAGAGAGAGAGAGAGAGAGAGAGAAAGAGAGAAAGAGAGAGAGAGAGAGAGAGAGTGTGTGTGTATGTGTGTTTTTTGTTGTTTTTGGTTGTTGTTGGTTGTTGTTGTTGTTTTTTGGGGGGTTGTTTGCTGTTGTTGGTTTGTTTTTCGGTGTTTTTATTTTTATTTTTATTTATTTTTATTATTTTTATTATATTTTTTAAATTTTTTTTTTTTTTTTTGGGGGGGGGCGGGATGGAGTATACATTCTGAATTCAGGCTCATATTACCTCTAATATCAAAATAGGTCAGTTATATACTGTTAAGGTGGGTAGTCACTTGGATGTGTCCTGCAACAACATACCATAGCACGGGACAGTGACGACCAACAGTGGAGTGTTTGCAAAATTGTATGTCTGTGTAATGTTGTGTATTTGGTATCTTTGATAAAATATTCTTTGTACGTAAATTTGTGTGTTTAAGTATGGGCATATGTATCTATGTATATATATATGTACAAATATGTATGCCGCTGTTATCCGAATTTTCCTAAATGTATTCAATAAAGTGGAAATTATGTACTGTTTGTAAATTTATTCATCCATTGGAGTTTTAGTTGCAGCGAACATTATCTAAATTAGAAACAGGGAAGAGGTACTCACTGTTTGGAGAACACGTATTTACAGCGTCCCTAACACATTTACTGGCATTCAGGAAGGCATCTTTTCTGTCGCCACAGTAGTTGGTGAAGTTCTGTAACATAATATTATAATGTTTTGAGAACAGGAAGCATGTAAAACGAAAGTACAAACGCGAATACAGTAAACAGCTCGTCAAGTTGTGGGACAATGTGAGTGTACGGATTAGTTTGTTGAATTATTCAGTTTCTGCGGTTGTGGATTTTGATCACAAAGTAACGAACTCAATGAAAAAATATCAACAGGTCTCGCTGTTTTCTGAACGTTTCTGTGCATCCCTGTTTCCTTCGCTCTTGAGCATAAGTTAAGCATCAACACAAAACCTTTGAGAAATATGTTCAGTCCTACTGTGGGTAATTCCACTATCCCAATCTCTGCTCATTTTAATTGCACAGCATTCCCAATTCATCTGTATACAAGACTTTTAAAGAGATTGTTTCCTTACAGATTAATAAATTTAGGTGACTGCTTGGGTCCCTTCGGCTCTGAGGACACGCCTGGCCTTATGCATTTGTACTAAGATAAGCTAAGATAGATGAGATAAGATAAGATAAGATGAGATTATAAGTAGTCTCTGTATAGACATAATATAAAAAAACGTTGTTCTCGCACAGCTACTACGTTGCATATTGTAGAGTAAAGCTAGCTGGCAGAGCAGTCACGCGCGCACACACACACACACACACACACACACACACGCACACACACACACACACACACAAACACACACACACACACGCACACACACACACACGTACATAATGTATGTGGCGTAAAAAACAACAACTTGAAAATGTAATAACAAAGCCCTAGTGTTAAAGCCTTATTCTACCCACTCATGCAGAATACGAATTTAAAGCTAAATAAGCTCTGCATCTTCTGACACATTAATATTTCACCGATCTTAAGAGACATTCTGGTCCCTCGAATTTTACTGTTAAAATCAGGAAGAAAAACAAAATTGTCTTCACGCGTGTATTGAAGAGTATCAATATTGATATAATGAACATGCATTGCATATCCAATGAGTGTTGAATCAACTTTCTGATGTGCTACAGCAATGAACCTTAATAAAAATCATAATCCGAATGGATGTTCTAGCTTTCAGTTTATGTAGGTGCCAGTTGGATCATAAACACAAAGTTATTAACATTACTTTGAACGAACGTTTTTCTGGTCAGCTGGTAAAGATAGATAGATAGATAGATAGATAAATAGATAGATAGATAGATAGATAGATAGATAGATAGATAGATAGATAGATAGATAGACTGACATTCATTCTGAAAATGCTTCTTTTTTTTAAATTTCGAAGGGAATCACACGCGTCTTTTTTTTTCGACCACATCAAAGAATAAGACAGAAACGGACATGAACTCACCATTCCTGCCATGTTGCCGATTGAAACAGCCTTGATCATGGCATTTACCTCTTCCGAAGGAATGCCATTGTCAGTGAAACACTTTTGCGTTGTCTTTAGCATGTCGGCACAAGGGTCAGAGGTTGGAGCAGCCAGGGACACGCCCACAATGCACGTCAAAACCACTATGCCGGAAGAAATGAGACGAGAAATTTCGATCTGGTGTAAGTCGGTCATTGTTGAACTGAACTCATCTGTCCCTCTCTGTCTTCCCCTCACCTCTCTATGTCTCTCTCTCTGTCTGTCTGTCTGTCTGTCTCTCTCTCTCTCTCTCTCTTTCTCTCTCTCTCTCTCTCTCTCTCTCTCTCTCTCTCTCTCTCTTTTTCTTTCTGTCTTTCTTTCTTTCTTTCTTTCTCTCTTCCTCTCACTCTCTCTCCCTTCTTCTATGTACCTCTCTTCCTTCCTCTCTGTCTATTTCTGGGCGTATTTGTTCCTGTGTGTTTGAGCATGCAAGTAATTAAGTGCATGTATGTGGGCATATTTTGGTCGTATATAGGAGAACAAATGGCTTGAAATTATCTGACGATTTTAAATGTATCTGAAATCTACTACAAGGCCTAGCATACAAAATGGCATATCTCAAGTAGGCCTGGTTTATTCTGGCACAACTCACAAACAAAATGATTTTCTTATACTCGAACAAATGCAAAATGGCAGAACTCATCAACACCCCCTACGTCTTAAGTTTTATATATTATTCCACCACAGGTATCGAAAAAGTGGCAGCACTTTTCACGTCTTGATTCATCTTTTTCTGACATAATTTGTGTCGACTGATGCAATATTACACTATGTTTTGATGAAGGCTTTCATAAACGTTTAACGCCAATCATTTTAAAGGCAACGTGTTACCGACCACAGAATCGTAATCGTGAAATTGCGGGTTTGGGGGTTCGAGCTTCAGCACGGGCAGACGTTGTGTCCTGGGGAAAGGCACTTTACTTGAATTTCACATTTAACCCGGTCCTTAAGGAGGTAGACGTTTTCTCGAAGGTCCGGCCTCTCAAATAATCTAATAGTGTTGATAGGGGCAATAAACTTTTACCATTTCACCATTTATCTTTTTCACATTTAATGCTTTCTTCTTTGTTCTAGTATCATATCTGAGGCATCCAATTGAATATGGGAACAAAAGTGACGACAAGTTGAAGGTCGATCTGTCTGAAAGCAACAAGTACGAGAGAATTTGGCATCTGTTCTTATCTCGTCCTACCTAGATCTAACTACCCACGCTCTCAGTACTTCATTGCTGCTTTAAAAAATAGTATGAATCTTTTAATCATTTTAAATGCACTCTCAGGACGGCCGGGGGGGGTTGTCATAGTTGTTGTCCAGGATGTCAAAATTTTTACTGACACACCATAAGTTTAAGAACAGCTTAGGTTTAGTCGAGAGAAAGAAAACATGTGATTTGCAGGCTAAATGTCGTCAAATTTGAATGCTCACATTATCAGGATGTCACAAAAAGAAGGACAGGGAAAGGAGATTGGGAAGGGGGATGGGCTGGAAAGGAGAGGGGGGGGGGGCGGCTAGCTTTCAGACTGGATTAATATCAGTAGGAATCTGAAAGACCATGACCATAACGTCTTCTGGTTATAGACGTAAAGAGTAATTGTACCTGAAGTACCAACGGTTTTGACGTTGTTTTGCAGCCACAACTCACAATATTGATCTCATCTTTGCCAACTAAGAGGAACACTGGAACAAGAAAATCATTATGTGAACTACACAATGCCGTTACTTCTATTGGCTGCTTTCGGAATTGTAACTATTACTATTGCTGTAATCGTCGCTGTCTTCTTTGTTCCCAAAATCTACGTTGATGTTGACGATGTTGTTGTTGCTAAATATTTACTCAGTCAGAGACAAAATATGACTTTTCGAATGTGAGACCCATACAGCAATCTGGTGAAAATAGAGACAAAAGGCCAACTTGTATACTCACCAACGATGTTCATGATGCCGGTTTATTTCTGTATTTGAGATATCTGCTCAGTTCTTCCAGTAGTGTTGGTGTAACGCTTACTTTCGTCTAGGTTTTATACAGAATTCTGTCTATGGAACAAGGCCTACTTTTAAGAGGACACAAATTTGATCCGAGGCTGCATGTTAAAGATAATATATATATATTATAGAACGCTTACTGACATCTGTGTTTGGGACGACTGTGGATTTTCCCAGCGTGGTCAACTGGATTAGCCAATCAATGCTGACGACCCTGTCTGGTTTTTCCCAGTCTGATGAACCAGTCTAGCCAATACTGACGACTTTGTCTAAGGACTTGTTCCTTGGTACGCATTTTGCATTCGTATTACCCACGAATCCAGATCCCTCTCCATTTTCTGTAACAAGTTCCATGAGCTACGTTCAACGTATGTGGTTTTGAAAATAAGGATAGCGTTGTGAATTTTTTTGTGGGAATACGTAAGAAGTTTATCGAGAGCGCACTCTCCCGCTCCTCCCACCATGTGTTGGTCGTGATCCAGACTCATTTCAGCAGCACGCAGCTCGACGATTTGCAAAAATACAGTGTAGCGTGTAGTGCGTTATTGTTTATTGTAGAGTAAAGCCAGGTGGCAGAGCAGGCAGTTATTGTCAAAATGAAGTTTTCAACAGAAACCTAGGAGCGTTTGATTGAGGTAGATAGGGAAACCCCGTGTTTTTATGATGCGTTGATTCCTTACGAATATCGGGGTCCACGAATTCTAGTAGCATTCATGGGTTCTCTCTGACGAAGGTGTTTTTTCTGTTTTGACTGAGCCTTTACTTTCCCATCTAATTTCTGAAAGACCCATTCGTGCAATATTGTCCTATCCATTTCCTATATATTCCTTCTAGTTAAGCATTACGATACACAGTCCTCACATGCCATGTGATCGGTTTTAAAGGTTTGAATCTAGATTTTGTTTTGCAAACAGTAGTTCGTTGACAGTGTGGGCGCCAACTGCTGCCCATCGTGGTCCCTACCAAGTGAGGAGTTCAGAGCTTGATCATAAGCCCCTCTATCGCTGTTGTTATTTATTATGTTCTTGTGGCTTTGCAAGTTGCTTTTTTCTCTGGAAATTAAAGTAGTATTTTTCTGTTGCCTACCACCTCCTTGTGAACAGGTTTCAGTGTCGCCTTTGTCATTCCAATGGCGCACAAGATGGTCGTCGTTTTGCTAGTACTTTTGGCGCCTCTCGTTGCAAAGACAATCCTTTATTTGTGCATTGAAACATTTATGCTACCAAGGTTCTCCTCTAGCCCCCTTCCAATGTCACCTTTATTCCCTGATTGATACTGAGAGCTCAAGTAGACAATCTTGGCTCGCCATGAGATTCCTACGAATGCACCCTATATTAGCGCTAGTGCTATGTAACATAGAATTGTCTGATCGGCCATAGAAGAAGCCACAAGTCATCTAAACCTTCAGTTCTAATCCTCCTATTTCGCTTTGAGAATTGTTCTCTCCTGAAGATGTTTTGATCATCGACAGACATTGTCGTACGAATTATCAGTATTATCATTGAAACGTAACATTATGAGTAAATATAGAAACAAGAGAGTGAGGAAGGGAAGATCGAACAAAGAGTAGAAAGTGGTAGGGGACCTGAAAAAATATACAACCATTGATGCCAAACGAAATTCACAAACAGTAAATTTGTTAAAAGCAACAGATGAAGTAACCACGAGAGGAGACAGTATGCGCACTTGAAGACTTTTATTTTAATAAAAAGTATACCAAACATCAGTGACTATGCCAAATATAGAAGAAAAGATAGAACCGGTTTTCAAAAAGGTGTGAAAAATGAAAGCACCTGGCGATTACGGAGTAGCTAGTGATATACGAAAGATAGGAGGACAAACTACTACAACATATAATATGTAACTAAATGACTCTGTAAAAAATTGCACACTCGAACAATAGCTGAATATTGGCAAGAAGCAAAAATAATAATTTGGTATAAAAAGGGAGACAGAGGAGTCACAAAAATACAGACCAATAAATTTACTGTCCGTACTTCCAAACTTCATGTATTTACTAGAGTTCTCCAGAATCAAAGGGAAAGGATGCTCGACGAGAACCCACCAAGAGAGCAGGTTGGATTTAGAAAAAAGTGCTCAGCAACAGACCATTTATAACCATCGTAACATAAAACTGACTCGAATACAATCTACGGCTATTCCTTGGTTTTATTGATTATGAAAAAAGTCTTTGATTCCATCGAGCACTTTGCAATTTTTGAAACGCTCAGAAAAATAAATATAAAAGAGACAATTTGATAGACATTTATTGAGAGGCGTCAGCTCGAATCCATCTTGTCATCCACGTGTAAGGAAAGCTTGCCATAGAAAAGGGAGTGAGGCAAGGAGGCCCGTATCATCCAATCAATCCACATCGACAATCGAAGATAACATTTATTATTTAAAAAGGCATCGTTCAGTATAGGAAATTCAATAGATGGAGAATACATGAAAGACGTGCGATTCGCGGTTGATGTGGCATTTTCCACTGAAAGAGAACAATCAATGGAAATTAACCTCAACATCGTAAAAAACGAAAGTAAAGAGAGGAGAGCTTAATATTCATAAAGATAAAACCAAATAAACGATGAATTACACCAGCGACAAGACGACTGCTATAGAAGAATATTGAAAACCTGACAGAACACATGAATAAATACTTAGGACAAACAGTAAGTATGGAGGAGAGAGCAAAAAAAAAAAGGTAAACAGAAGGATACGTGCGGTTTGGAGTTGCACTGGAAATCACAGGGAAATATTTAAAAATCAAAATCTGCCTATATTATTAAAAAGACAAGTCTTCAGGGAATGTATTGTCCTAGAAATAATCTATGGAAGCCAAGCCTCGCCAATAACTAAACATATCCTGAAGAAATTAAGGACAACACAAAGAGAAAAGGAGAAGAAGGTGCTGCGCATAAGAATACAAAATCAAATAAATCGCACAAAACTTCGAGAGAAAACATGACTGAAAGATATTCCCAAATTTGCACTCCATCAAAAATGGAAATGGACTGGCCATATCGGCGAAATAAGGGGCAATACATGGGCAAAACAATGTACGGAATGGAGACCGAGAACGGGAAAAAGATTAAGAGGAAGACCAGAAAGAAGATGAGAGGACAACATCAGAGAGAAGGTGAGTACAACCTAGACTCGAAAAACAGCTGATAGACAGAGTGGATTGGATTTGGGGGTTTTTGCGGTTGTTTTTTGTTTTCTTTTGTTTTCTTTCTTTTTTTGGGGGGTGGGGCTATATTCTAAAGTGGGCGAACAGCTCTTAGAAGGAAAGAAAAAAAAAGATATCACCGTCATTCCACTAGGAGGTTGTATACCTCACAGTCCGGGTTGCCTCTGACCAGACAAAATCGGACCCCGCCCTTTGAATGGTCTTAGCTGTGTCAATGGCGGTGTAAAACACCAAAGTTTGTTTGGCTTTCTTTTAAACGAACGAGTTGAGGACTGGTGTTAACCATCATATTTTCTGAGAGATTAATATTTAAAATTTCGGGCAACTGAAAGTTATGATAAAGCATTAAGATGTCTAGATCTACCACGCTGCGGTGACCAAGCAAAAAAATCATCAAAATTTGGAATGACTAAAACATCCTCATCAGCTCCTAGACCAGACTGGTGCGTTCTCGGGCCATGTCCATAACCTTTGTATGTCAGTGAAACATGGACCATAATAGCAGATATTGAAAAAAGGATACGGACACCTAGGAGTAAGCTTGTGTTTCCGGAAACTGTTCAATTTTCGTATAGAGATCGCATAACGATGATTGTGGTAAGAAATTTACAAATGCCATTAGTCATTAGAACGTATGAAGACATCCTGACTTCAGTGAAAAGACGCAAACAGAAGTGATACTGACACTTGCATGACATGTTTCTGACGCGGTGTAGCATTGTAAGAAAACTAAAAGAGAAAAAAATGCATTCAAAAAGACAAAGAGAAAAAGAATAAATTGGCCAGATTGAATTAATTTCTGTGGGAAAACAACAAGCCACAGCACAAACTACGCCATAGAGTTGCTTTGTTTTGTTTTTGTTTGTTTTGTTCCTTTGTTGTTGTTGTTTTGTTTTTTTGTTGTTGTTTTTTTTTTTGGGGGGGGTGCAGATACAAAGGTCAGTCAAACGTAACACGATCTCTTCAATCTCGTTATGTTATACATGAAGATAGGGAAAGAAACATTTTCCACCCCCGAGCCATTAACTGAACACAGCTGAAAAAAAGACATGACAATACTGCAAAGATTAACCCAGGTATACTACATTTGTACGTGGTTGGCTATGGTTCTGCATAGATTAATACGTCTTTAGCCCAATGAGGACGAGCAGTCTAGTTATTTGACAACGCTTGAAGACATTGTTTGTGCATTAGGGTACCCACCCGCAAACCACGGAAAGCAACGGAACGGAACGTGTTTTTTTCGTCTTTATCCGTGGCCCCCTTGATGATAAAATAGCGCAACAGATTCCTCCCATTAAGGGGGGGAGGGGGCGCTACACCTGAAGGCTATCTCGCTTATTACTGGACCGAATTTGACCAAATTTCACACATATAACAAGCATAGTAAGGAGTCTTAACAACCACAAACAAATTTGAGAAAAGTTTCGTTTCCATGGATATTGCGGCCATTTTGGATTTTGTTGACATGTCTTATGTAATGAATAACGCACTTACTGCTCATGGAAATTGATTGTTTTTTTGCATGCGTGTTAACAGACTTTAGATCTAAAAATTTGCCTGCTGTTTTTTTCCTAAACGAATTAAAAACATTTTAAAGAATTTTTTTCAGAGGTACCATTCAAGTTTGCAAAAAATCCGTGAAAATTCACACTCAAGACACCACAAACAAAATCTATTCCAAATATCTAAAATTCAACAGACAAATTTTTCAGTATTACATTTTCTCTTCATTCTGTGAAAAGTTCATGAAGATTGGATGATGATTACGTTTTGAGAAAACGGCCGGTAAAGAAAAATAAAATATTGACTTATGAGGAAATGATAGTGATAAACATGCCTGGTATGGGAAAAAATACGGTTTTAGTGGGTTCTTATGCGATGAAATAGTTGTAGGAGGGGCCGAGGAAGCTAAAAATGCCTACAAATCAAATTCCATAATTCTG